GTTTAGCAAAAATCAATTCAAAACAGAGAAACTAATTCTATCTCACAGCAAAATTGCTACAAATCAATCACAGCATTAAGTAAACAAGCAGTTCGCTAGAACTACAGCTACTACTGAGATGAGTTGTTTGTTCTCGGCTTTTATAAGCTTTATAATTAGTTTCTCGAATATACTGGAAAAATCTATAAATATCTGGATTTTTGTGGATGGCAACAGCAGTTACGAGATATTTATTTATTAGGTATTAAATGCACGCGCTGTTCTATTTTTAACCTTCCAACGCAGCTGTCTTTTCAAAAATCGTCTGTGTTGCTAAGGCAACATGAAGCAAATCTAATTACAATTCTAAATAAAAAAAACTAAATAAATAAATAACTATGAAATCCGTAACAATATGAATTAAGTAATAATTAATAATAAAGCAAAGTGCATGCACATGCATGCACCAATATATCGTACAAAACTATGATTGGAAAATTGAGACCATGAGTTCGGCTATCGAGGGATGCGTACAAGTTCTGAGTGCACGTGTCCCCCAAAAGCCGAAGGTAGCTGAACGCAAGCTACTCACACGCATTTGTAATTTAAGTAGAGTGTGTGTCAGCTCGCTGTGAGTAATCTAACAACACTGAATAAATTATCGTTAATTACTTAGCAGTAAACATTTCATTTTTTTTCTTCGTCGATATGTTATTTTATTATTATATATTATTATTTGCCGATATACGTATTGGTCGGGCCGCAAAAATATTTGTTGTGGGCCGCATGCGGCCCGCGGGCCGCGAATTTGACATCCTTGATCTACAGTATAGTATAATATAGGTATTGTAAGGTTAGGTAATGAGAAAAGTAAATGAAACACTATGCTACTCTGCAATGTATTCTATCTACTATATATTAAGTAGTGTGTGACCGTTGGTGTTGGTTATGGTCCTTACTCACTGCAGACTCTTAGTAGAGTGCTTCTACTACGTTCTGTAAAATTTTCGTTTTGTTTCTATCTTCATTTATACTTTTAATTTTTCTTTAACTTGTTTCTCCTTCACAATGTCGTATTCAATTTGCAGTTTGTTCATTTTGCTGACATTTCATTTTGTAAACTTCAGAGTCATTTTTTGTCTTTTGTATATGATGTCGGAATTCTAATAGCTTATGTAAATCCACCCTCCGTTAGCAAATTTAGATATTCCAAAATGAGCAGCCTCTCTCCTCTCGTAATGCCTTTTGTTTGTCTTTACTTTTATGATTTTTGCTTCTTAGATGATTTTAAATACAAGATTTTCTGGCTAAAAATGTCTGCTTCAAATTTTCCATTAAAATTTAAATTGAACAGAAGTTTGCTTTTGGTTTGATGATCATAAAAATGTCATTCTGTCATCGAACACTAAATCCATTGTCTTATGCCCATATTGCAATACGACTTCTGCTTATTTAGCTTGATGTAGTTTGCTATCATATCATCTGCTATGTCTGAATTTGAATCTTTGTTATCTTTGTATTTCAGATACTTTATCTATTGATTTTAATTTATAATTATATTTACTTGGGAAGTATTTCTCCGAAATCTTATCTGTTACACTATCATTTTCTTGGGGTAGAGCACAGGTACTTCTTTACTATTCTTACTCCAAGCGTAAAAATGCTACGGTTAAGTTACAGCCATGTTCATAGTATTATGATTTTCATCTTTTGAATAGTAAATTGTGAGCCATAAGGGTTCCTTTTAAATATATTATCTCCATAGACGTACACATTTACCTGAAATGCCAATAAAATTTTGAACGGTTTTCAGGTACACTAATAACAGAAGCCGAATTAAATGCGTATCTATTTATAAATGTATTTATTGTTGCTCGAGCTGAATTTCTGAGGAATAATTCATTTGAACTCATTTAGAGATACAGTATAGTGAAATGTCCGATAATCTGCCACTGTCAGAGCTTCTTTGATGCCAGATTATAGGCCTAAAATTGTGTAATGTCACAAAATAATATTTTCCATTATTGAAAACGAATTTCATAGAATAATTTCGATATCCAAAGAATTTTCTGCCAAAACTCCGGTTTAATTACATAAAAAATTCTGGAGCCCTCTTATTTGGGGCTCCGCTGCTTTACGGCTTACATTACGACTTCATGTCAATAACTTAAGAATTACCGGAGGTGGGCTACAGTGGGCTCAGCGCAATGTAAGCACTGTTTAATGAGAAATGAATTCTGTAGATTTCATCGATTTTTCAAATATTGAAATTTATACGAAGGTAAATTTGCAGTAAAAACCACTGAAATGTGCTTGACTGAAAGAGATTTGTATAAATGAAAACAATCGCATACTTAAAAGCTATTATTTATTCTTTGAAAACGACGCATGCTTTAGCTTAGAGTTGGGGTTTTGAACACATTCCAAATATTCAAGTTTGAATGTTTTGCCTAACATGCATCGAAAATAAGGATTAAGTATACCTGCCTATGATTTATTTTTCCAATCCTTTTTATAAAAAGATTTTAGCTTATATTTCGCTAACAAAGAGAAAAAAAACATTGACATTTTCTCAGGAAGCTAAAATATGCTAACAATGTAAAATAAATAAAAAAAAAATCATTGATCTACCATTGTGTTTTTGTTACATTACGGTTTCCTTTCAACCTCTATTAAAACAATGAAATCATTAATATGAAATAAAAACAAATTCTGATACATTTTTCTCAGCTTATTTTAGCTTTTACATATTAGTAAATTGGTTTTCAACAAAATACTTCCTATAAAATCAATTACTGGGCGAATAGTTTAAATTAATTACTGTTTGCTCTGAAAGTGGCCTTAACATCTCTCATTTGTGAGAAAGTAGTTATAAAAAAATAACGTTTTAAAGTTATTCAAATAACTGCATTTATCATTGGCTAATTAAAAATTTATTTCAATAATATTTCAATAATTAGTTTTACGTAAACCATAGATCGGTGTCAAATAAAAGTTTATTAAATACGAACGAAAATATTATTGCCAGAATGGTCAAGGATGAATGATTTTACTTTAAGCGATCATACGACTAAAATAAATTGGAGGGTTTTAGCTAACTAATCCAAAACAAGTTTACAGATAATTACTTTCTACACATAAATGCATTTCCTTCAATTCTTTTATATTACGCTCCAAGCATTATGAAAACTAATGATAGACTTGAGCATTCCTTCAAAGTACTCACATACGGAGATTACTAACAAAATATTTGAGATGATCTCAATTCTGGCATTATTGATATTTGCTTAAAAAATTTTTTTTTCAGATTTCTTTCCAGATGGACAAGGAAAGTTTCATTTTGTAAACGTAACACTACCTGGTGAGAAATATGTGTTTGAAGAAGATATAACGTGCAAAAGAAGAAAAAAAAAGAATTTTTATAAGTTTAAAATTCTCTTTCCTCCCTCGCAAAAGTGAGTTTCGTTTAAAAATGAAGAAACACGATACTTACATTCAGCAGAACAAAATTCATAATGCAGATATATATAAACACTTAAAATTGGTTTAGGGAAAAAAGAGAAATGTTTAAGCACCAGAGTAATGATAAAACATTTTTTAATTCGACAATGCAAATGCATGCTTGAGAACAGAATTATATTCTAAGGCATTTTTATTGAGGTTCATACGGGCACTCTAGTAGTTTTCTAGCAATAAAAAATGTCAAGCTTCGAAATCCTAGACTAAAAATAATAGCTGTGAAGTCTTCTCTTCAAAGTAACTAAATGTATTAACTCTTTATAAAGATCTGTACGCAAAAGATACATTTTTCAAAAATTTCAGATATTACGAAAATAACAGAAAAATACAGTCGCCAGTCTGTCTCAGACAGAGGAGAATGTTTAGGAGCGGTGTATGCGCGTTAATTGCAATCGTCTCTGAATCTTCTGTTTCATTTGTTTAATTTCTGTTATACATCGTTTTAGTTTATTGTGGTAATTGCATGTAGCATGTGGCAACGATTTGATAATTCATCAGATGATGTATTTTATCGTGCATTCTTTTTCTATAATGGTAAAACTGAGATTTTAACGTTTTTTGAGAGGAGGGCTTTAGTGTCGCTATAGTAAATAAACATAGTAAATTTCAAAGAGTGATTGTATTTATTGTATAACGTGTTTATGTGTATATCTATCGATGGATTCAGTTCAATTCAATTAAGAACAGTAGACATGCATCACCATTATGGGTATGGTAAAAGTAACGTATAAAAACTCCTTGCCAAAATTATACTTATTCAGAAGTCAAACAACAAAAATCAGCGTTATATTTTTAAAACTTTCACAGTCTGTGAAAATTTTGAAAATATAACGCTGATTTTTGTTGTTTGACTTCTGAATTAGTATTTTTGTTCGGCGGGTTATTGTGTCTTAAAATTATACTTATTAACAAGCATTTCTTATTATACTTATTAATTTCGCAAGCATTTCTTATTATACTTATTATACTTATTAATTTCTGTATTTTATTTTCATTAAATATTACAAAAGTATTCAAATTAAATTAATTTATAGAATTTGCACTAACATAAACTGGTCTACAATATTTGAGAAGCGCATAATGTTTAAATATCGATGGTACAACAACTATGCATCACACACAAAATTACTGAGATTTATTCTTTGTTCTCAATTTTTTTAATGCCTGGCTAATCGTGGTACCAGTAAATTTTGGGACAGTATATTACTAACTATACCTGTTAAGCAGCCTTTGAATGCAAATTTTACAAACATACCTTTTATATTTTACAGACATAAATTTCCATTTTATCCCCAAAAAATGTTTGCTAAGGTGGACAAAAATATAAATTAAAACTTCTTCCTTAGAAGCCTTGCATAAGCGTTTAAGTTTCATGCATTTTAAATAAAAGTTGACATTTAACAAACACTATCTTAAATCTTAAAAATACTTTATTTGAATCTTATTTTAACTTGAGATCATTAATTCACTCATTATTTGAATCTAAACACGAGTTTATGACCTTATTTAAGAAACATTTATTTACTTTATTTTATAAAAGCAGGCATCATTTGGGTAATCAGTTGCACATCTAAATAAAGAATAATAAGAAGAAATGTTTTTTTATTAATATATATGTTTATTTCTAAATTTTTCTTTTAATTATTTACTTTTCAACTAATTCTCTAGTACATTTGTTGACTAAATATTACATCCTTAGGGAAAATATGGAGGATCTCTATCATAGCAACGGCCCCTTAAGACTGCAGAGGTAAGTGCTTGTCCTGAGGAGTTCTTGAAATCAATGTAGCCTTCGTACGCATCTGAAAATCTTTGATGAACTCCATAACTCCACTCATTTAAAGGGGTTAATCTCATGCCACTGCTTACAACGGATGGATATATATGCTTTGTGGAAAAATCAGCTGTTAGCTGAACGTTGTAGAACAAAGTCTGGGACTTCAGAGGAAAAGTTACACAAGGATTTCTGCCATGGGCTTCGCATCGTGTCAACATGCAAGTCTGCTCGCAAAAGGAATAACGACTGGCGTAATCAATTGTTCCATTATACACTATCAAATAAAAATTCTCCGTCATGCCATTGGAAGAATAATTAAGGGAGCAACATATGCCATTAAGACACGCTTTAACATGATCACTATCCTCTACTAGTTGGACGAAAGAATAATTTGACATATTCATTTCAAAGCATCGATTATCCTTGTACAGATCCTTTGATTTACCTAAAATTTTCATTGAGCATTCAGTGGGAACATTGGATCCGTCATCAAAAGATTCCTGAGTATCATTCATTGTAATTTTTATAATACTAGCATTTGGTGAAGAAAAATTAAAACTATTGCCTCTTTTCGGTACTTTGGCGATAACTAATTTTGATATACCGTCTGGGTCAAAAGTATAAGCAAGCGGGCCGTATGTCCCCGAGAAGATGCCACTACCCGTTGCAAGATATCCTGGCATCTGTATATTGGATGCAAGAAGTGTAGCATTGTTTCCTAATGACCATGATTCCCACTGTTGGACAGATGATCTCTGAGGCGGAGTATTTCCCCACATGGCAGAGAAGACAATAGCATCTATGTCTTCCCTTTTAGATACTTCTGTCATTTTTTCATATTCGATATCGAAACAAATGAAAGTGGCAAAAGTTCCAAAATCTGTCTTAAACACAGGATCTTGCTGTTTTTGTGGTAGATTCATGCCGAAGTCATAAAATAGAAATTCTTTGTAATATCGTACAAGCAGTGTGCCGTCTTTGTCAAAGACAACGTTTGTATTGAAATGAAAATTCTCATCTTCAGGACAATTATCTTGGCCTGCACAAGGCTGAATGTCTCCCATGTTTGCTACAACTACAATTCCATTCTGCTTAGCTAAGCAGCTCAAACTGTAAAGAATAGGACGGTTTTCATATTCTTTCCTTTCATTACATGGATTGGTCTTCCTCTCTGTAGGATCTGGAATCATTTCCAAATATGACTTTAAGTGTTTTCTGCCACCTGGAGGAAAAATACCGTATTCTGGAAAGACTATAATATCAGCTCCCTGCAATAAATAAAAAGATTTAAACATAGCAAATCAACATAGTTACAAGCAGCGTAAAATGTATACTAAAAATTATTAAATACGCATTGAATTATCTTTATATTTTCAGGTAATTTTTGTTACTTTTTTACATTACAAAGAACAACAAGAAATTATTGATTTCCTTTCTTTTGCCATTTTTAAGCAAAATCTGAACAAAATGATTGAAAAAAAAAAGAGGTGTATAAAAGAAAATTTAAAAATTACATACTTCTAATTAAAAACATTAAAATGAAGGGAAAAAAAACATAAACCGTTTGCCTCTCATCATATTTTCATCGTGTGTGACTGACATTAAAATCATGGAACTACAAAAATATATCTGATTTCAAATCAAGATTGTCATATTGTCAATCTACAGAAATTAACTTTTATTTTGTTACGAGGAACTAAAAGATTCTCTATTGGGATGCTTTTTTAAAAGCTTTTTCTCCGTCACCCGCAAACATATCCATCGTCACATCAAAATTACTAGCGTTTCTTTAATTTTGAAGTTTAGTGAAAGCACTAAACATCAAAATTCAAAACTACTCATTGGTGCATAAAATTTGTGCCAGCTTTATAGAAAATAATTATTATATAATTATGACACTTCTTAGACTGAATAGGATCATGGCAAGCATTCAAACATCTTTTTATGTGTTTTCAGTGTTACTACAGCGGTTATTTACTCATAATGTAAATGTGTTCATATTGTTGCGTTCTACATGTTTGTGGATTTAAAGTGATGATGACAACACTTGATGAAGATTCAAAAGACAATTTATTCGCCAGTATTACACGGGACAGTTTCAAAGACAGGCTTACAATCATCGAAAAACTACGACAAACATGCTGAAACTATCAGCAACACTAACTTCAGGCTATAACATTATAACGGTGAAGACAGCTTCACGGCAAAGACTAAAGTACAGCTCCCAACTCAATTCGGTCGCTCTCAAACTACGTTCTGAACTCAAGACACTACTAATGAACTCAAGATACTTCTTTCTCCGCGTACGGCAGGGTATATATAGAAGAGAAACACGCTAATGTGACAATCAAAATCGTAAAAACAACCTTGTATTTAGCGTAAGTATAATGAAACACTCAATCGATTTCGAGGGCAGCTAAAGGTCCCTCCTCATCAGGAGAAAGAAATACCTAGAAAGAAGAAAATAAAGGAGTCTCAGAAACACGTGGTTCTTATCAGCACTGCACGTGGTTATAACTGGATTTTTAATAAGAGTTGCACTGGCCGCCTACTTTTACTGAGCCAGGCTATCTGATCAAGCATAAAGGACAAGAAAAATTAGCGAAGTTAAATAGGGAACGAGGGGGCAAATGCACTTCACGCTCAAAATCTGAACTTCAAATAATGGAAAGCAACCACTGAACGGATTTTATACCCTCTGGTAGTAACCAACGCGAGGAGGTAACGTCATCTATCGGCAAAAATAACTGAATTAAGATAGTAGAATTTTAAAGGCATTAGGAACGACTGGATTGGACTTCAAATCATTAACTAAACCTGCTAAATCTTTGTGAATGTGAAAAGCCTCAAGAAAATCCAATTCAACTATGGAAGAAGCCTTTTGGATAATTTTTGCAGACCCAAAGTCAAAATTATGGTTAAATGTCCAACTACGATATGCTATTGAAGACTTGTTAATTTCGCTTTTTCTGATATAAGATTCATGTTCCTTGATACGAACTTCAACGCTCTTTTTGTTTGGACAATATATCTTAAACCACACTGACACGATATACTATAAATTCCCCAAGAATTCAAGGCAGAAACGCAATCTTTTAGAATCGAAGGGTGAATTTTATTAATAGGGGAGAAATCGACTTGAAAATTGAATTTCTGGAGAATCCGTGCAATTTTATAGCTAACAGAAGGATAAAATAGAAGCACGACAAGGTCATTAATATTATTTCTAACAGTGGAATATCTTCTTTGATGGGAATCTGAAAAATTTTTAACGGCTTTATCAATAATCACAGGAGAAAATCCACGGTCCATCGCAACTGCTCTCAAATAATTAAGTTCATTGGTAAGCAAATTTTATCCTTCTGTTTACTATAAAATTGCACGGATTTTCCAGAAATTCAATTTTCAAGTCGGTTTCTCCCCTATTAATGAAATTCACCCTTCGATTCTATAAGATTGCGTTTCTGTCTTGAATTCTTGGAGAATTTATAGTATATTGTGTCAATGTGGTTTAAGATATACTGGCCAAACAAAAAGAGCGTTGAAGTTTCGTATCAAGGAACATGAATCTTATGTCAGAAAAGGCGAAATTAACAAGTCTTCAATAGAGTATCATAGTTGGACATTTAACCATAATTTTGACTTTGGGTCTGCAAAAATTATCCAAAAGGCTTCTTCCATAGTTGAATTGGATTTTCTTGAGGCTTTCACATTCACAAGATTTAGCAGGTTTAGTTAATGATTTGAAGTCCAATCCAGTCGTTCCTAATGCCTTTAAAATTCTACTATCTTAATTCAGTTATTTTTGCCGATAGATGACGTTACCTCCTCGCGTTTGGTACTACCAGAGGTATAAAAAATCCGTTCAGTGGTTGCTTTCCATTATTTGAAAGTTCGATTTGAGCGTGAAGGTGCATTTGCCCCTCGTTCCCTATTTTAACTTCGCTATTTTCTTGTCCCTTTATGCTTGATCAGATAGCCTGGCTCAGTAAAAGTAGGCGGCCAGTGCAACTCTTATTAAAAATCCAGTTATAACCACGTGCAGTGCTGATAAGAACCACGTGTTTCTGAGACTCCTTTATTTTCTTCTTTCTAGGTATTTCTTTCTCCTGATGAGGAGGGACCTTTAGCTGCCCTCGAAATCGATTGAGTGTTTCATTATACTTACGCTAAATACAAGGTTGTTTTTACGATTTTGAGGGTATATATAGCTTTTAACCTTTCGAGAACATTCCCAAGGAAAACCGCTAAGAATACGTTCTAGAATGTTCTAGCTCCGTCTATGCTAAATCACCAAATCTGTCAACCCTGTCTAGCTTGCCATTTTTTGGAAACCCTAAACAAGCCTTGCGGGGAAACCCAATATATGGTAATGCATTTAGTTCTGAGTCCGTGTAATGGTGGTCAATACTTGTGTGTAAGAATCCTATAATAGGATAAAGCTTCAGGACCTGCCTGCCAGGTCGTTTATCATATTTAAAGCCCTTCAAGTGCATGTGGCCAATGCATTACCATTTTGCATAAAAACTGCGTATTTCCCAACCATGCTTATTTAAGAGGGGAAGTGCTAGACAGCTTTATTAATAGTATGCGAAACTGCAGTTAAATAAATATATATATATATACATATATATAAGGTAACCCTATATGATACTGAGCACTTCTGCAAATATAAAGGAGGCATTCATGATTCAAACAATGCCAGTTTTCTCTCATGAGGGAGGAAACAGTGAATCAACATTTCATTTTTGGTTTTACTGTATTCTTAAGTACTATTTTGTCCTCTTCGTCTAGATTTCAGTACACGTATGAGCAAATCATACCAGGTATAACAGTTCCTTTGATGAGTGTAAACTGATATATAGATATTTTATGCTTTTTAATGTAAGCTGGCTGAACTATTTTACTTTAAAATTTTAATTAAAAACCTTATTCTAATTTAAAAACTGTTTTTGTAACTTGGTAGAACATTGTACATAAGAAATTCAAAACGCTTTCACAACAAAGGTAGAAGTCAAATATTATTAAGCAACAACTTTTCAAACTTTTAATAATAGTCTTGCTTATTCTAAAAGTATTTTAAAGGAGGAGTAAAATGTCATTCTTGACTACAAAATTCAAGAATTTTGAAGTTGTTAGTTTTATATACAGCAAATGTATGATCCCCTTAACTGAAGCAAATCTCTTTTATTTTTAACATTGCTTCTCTTACTGTAATATGTTTATATAATTTTAATTTTTTGCTTTTCACTTCTTTTACATATAATATATTTTACGTAAATCCGTGAAAGTTTGTTGTAAATGTAAACACAATATAATTTTTAAAGAATGTTAAGAAGGAGGAATATAAATACCAAACCTTTTCCAATATAATAAAATTGCGAAACATTCTTTCTACTGGAATTGTCGCAACTGTGAGAAATAATATAGAAAGTACACATACATTATTTTTACCTTTCGTTTGGCTACTTCCGCTGCTTTCTTATAAAATGCTAAATTCTTGAAAATTATATCTTCTGGGGTATCTGTAGTCGCGTTGGATTGCCGAGCGTGTTCAAATACGGCTGCAGTAAAGTATTCTGCTTCGCTGGATAAACCCACAGCAAGAAAGACCATGAAGATTGGAAAACAGACTCCCCAGTGATTCATGACTCTGAAATGAAATAACATACGTAATACTTTCTCACACATCCAAATTCTACGAGAATACACTTTAATATTTTGTTATTTAAGTCATTTATAACATCAATTTTTTACTGCTTACTCATAGTAAATAATAAAAAGTATAATAATAAAATCCCAAGTTTAAGCAGCAGAGTCGAACTTAAGAACATCATTATCGGAATTTATAAATATAGAAAGAATGATAAGTACAAAATAAAACTGGTAAGAGAAAAATATGATTTTTCCTGTAATTTATAACATTCGATTTCGCCATAATTTCTTTTTAACATAATAGTATCCAAATCTAAGTATATGCAAAGCTTACCTCGCACCATTTGGAAATAAGAAAGAGAAACTTTGTCTTAAAATTTCTGTGTAATTTAAATGTTAATTCATACCTTGGGTTTACAAGAGAGGGCTGCTGGGTATTTTTTCTTATCCCCATCCCCGGGAATTGATTAAATTTGAGTTTTTATCGATGCAAAATACTGTACTTTATAACCTACTTCTAGAAATCCTCAAATAAAGTTGTTATAATTGCCTGTCTTCAGTGTTTGCATTCACTCGAAACTCTTCAGTGAACATTGTTGGTTCACATGATTATCACAGTCTACAAACGCTTAATGATATCCAAGTACCTACGTTGCTCATGTAAAGTGTTCGAATCCCGCGAACGGGCTGGCTGCATGGGTGTTTTCGTGGTTTTCCCCATGTGTAACGTACATACGAGCCAGTTTCCCTTAGAAAGTCCTCCACGAAAGGCATCCCTCCCCTTAGGCAGATAGCCCTAGTGTGCTTTGCCATAATTAAATACACCAACACCAACCAATGCTCATGTAAAGTCGTACATTTTTCTCAAGACCTCGATTCTCTAGAAACATTTTTAAATAACTCGAAAATTTTAAGAAATCCACTCTTCCTACAAGTTATAATTTCTTCAATTTGAAGATCACGTGTCAAATCACACTAAATAGATTCTCCAAGAACTGAAATCAGAGACATGCTCTTTAAGAGTCGAACAATGACTTCTACTGATAAATGAGAAATTAGTTTTAAAGTTTGAACTTGTGGTGAATTGAGTCGAACAGTTTTGTAACTGATAAAAGGATAAAATGCTATGAGGACGAGATTATTATAGTTATTTAGAAACACAAAACGTCTATTGTGATGATAAGAGGAAAACTTTATAAATATCTTTATAAATGGCCTGCAAAAAATCCTCTTCTGACAGCTCATGTTTTCCTGAGAAATAAGAGTTATTTCAAAAAGAAACACTTTTCTTTGTTTCGTACGGGTGACTTGATTTTGCATAGATAGACAAGAAACAGAAAAAGGTTTGTTGTGAAACGTAGTGCTGAACCCAGTCCACTGTGCAATTAGAATATTGAGAAAAGTTCAGTTTTAAAACTGAATTGAGCAGTTTCATCAATCGAATTTGTAACTGATAAAATCTTTGCTAACTAATCTTTATTATAGTCCAAAAAGCGCTAAAGTATCATCAACATAGGGAACTCTGAGAGATGAAAAACGTTTTCAAGCAGTTCATTTCGTTATTACATGAGGAAGGCAGTTTTAAAAATACATAGAACTATATAACAATCACTATAACGTTTAAACATTAAAAATTGAAAAATACGTTAAGAGGGTTCTAGTTAAATTGAGAGTCCTTTGCAACTAGAGTCCTTGGACAAGTGTATAGAGACTATTCGCTGGTCTTCTGACAACTACAAGAATAAGGTCCAAAGAAGGATTAAATTACCCTTTTTATTTTAACTTCAGAATACCTACACTCTGCCCCTCTCGGACTTATAGAAAAGTCTCCACTTGGGCTTTAACTTGAGATAGAAAATAAGAAACTAAACTAGTTTTAACTAATCAAAACTTAGCCGTAGCTGTACAGAAATACTGAAAACTCATTCTGGCAGGAAATTGTAGGAAAGGGTTTAAAATTTAAAAAATAACTATTAGGAAATTAAAATATCTCCTACATATTGATAAGTTAAAGACAACTTTAAAATTACTTTTGGTTTTATCCTTGCTTAGTAATAAAAAAGGCTTACAATATTGTAAGATTTCGAGAGAGGAAATGGGCTGATGAATTGAAGCTGTTTTCGTTCGAAGCTCTTTACCAGCAGCATTTCACATATTAAAAAAAAGGGCAATCTATGCAAAACTAAATAAAATGAGGTATGCCTGCATTTATTGATAAGCGGAGCACGCACAGATAATTAACATACGGGACTAGAAGCGGGATTAATGTTATTCAGATGTCTTTTATTTGTATAAATGCAGGTATATTTAAATGACATTAATATGAAGCATAATAACGTGTCAGTTATTATAAAATTTCGGTAAAAGTTTGTCTACAACAAACAGGTTAGCAATATCGGAAGATTTATTAAATAGAAATAACTATTTATATGTTGCCTATTTTTCAAAATGGGAATACCTTTGATTTACAAAAGACTCTTCTTAGTATTAAGTTCTAAATATAGTTGCATTATTCATTTCTATAGCTACTTTCCATAGCAAATTATTTTTGGAGCATTATTGCCGAACTCTTTTGCAGATATATTTAATCAAATGATTTGTTTTACATTTTCACATTGTATTACACAACTAAGTACCTCTTGAAATGCGAGCTGAAGATTTCTGATTGTAGAAATGAAACAATTAAATTAGGCTTTCACACTAGAAGATTTTATCACGTGAAATATTTTAATAAAAATACTGCAAACTTAAATATTCGCATATGAAATTCGAATAGAAAGTTTTTTGTAAGAGAGTTTTCCATCAACTGGAAATTTAACAGAATACAAGCCAGGATCCAAACGGGTGTTTTATATGATTTTTATTAAATGCAAGCTGGAAAATTAGCCTAATTCTGTATTTTACATGATTTATTTCTTTAAAATTCGGTCGAAATGAGGACGTTTTAAAAATTGTTACCGAAATTTAATTTTTAAAAGGTATTTCATCCCAATATCTTTTAAATGTATTCAATTTCAATTTGTATTTTTAAAATAGATTCTAGTCTCTTCAGTATGTTTATGTGATTAATTCAAAGCACGTAAAAGGCTATCTACCTAAAAGTAGGCCCACTTTCATGGAGGAGATTTTAAGCGAAACTTGCTTGTATCCATGTCACACATGAGGAAAATCACAAAATGATAATTTACAGCTTGGCCACTTGCGATTCCAGTTTTTATCAATTGTTTTGAAGCCTAATTTGGCGTTTCAGGCACATTTTTTGTCTCTAAAATCTCCCAACTAAGAATTCACTAACTTACGTATGTGAATTCCTCCCCCCTTCCTTAGTCAGAAAAATTAACTGGAATTCCTTTTTCTGATTATCTAAACCTGTAATTTGCTACCTTATACATAGTATTTATACACAAACAACGTAACCACAAGTTCTTAGTAGCCGTCATTTTCGCAACCGTTGGTCGCAGACATGTATTTCGAATTGCAAAATTGTTTTAAATGATGTAAAATTCATGGTTTCATATTTCCAAATTAAAATAAAAAAGTATTTTTACGAAATCTAATATAATATATGTTCTCCATATCCCTGAACTTATATTTAGGAAAATTTTGTACTCGTTATAAAAAGTAAAACACCCATCCGATAAAAATTGATCTATATATTTAGCATTAAATTTGCCGATCATATTTAAGGGCTGTACACAAACTGACAGGCGATATATTTGCATGTGTACATAGCTAAAATAGCTAAAAATACTATATCAGTTTAGAAAACGTTTTCGTGTATAAAGAGATTAAGTGACGAGTATTTCTATACATATTATTAGAAAATGTATTGGTAAATATAATTTTTTCAAAATGGAAATCTTATTCGTAGAATCTTATGGAATTAATGTTCTAGAAAACACTGAAAGTTTTCAGTATTGGCACTTAGCCAACTCATAGCCAGTCATAGTATTATTTGCATTAATCGAAAATCAAAAATGTGTGTAATTTGAATTTTCAGTATGATTACGAGATTATGGTTCTAATAAAACTATATGAGAATATTAATAATGTAATTTTCACAGGGAAAATTTATAAATTTGTGCGAAAATTCTTTTGGCATACCAAATGCAATAAAATTAAAAATTAAATGCATCGGTAGACCACATAACGGCATTGAATAGCATTAAAGTGGAAAAATCAACAATTCCTCAATAGATATTAAATACGACTTCAAAAATCCCAGATTTTAGTTGAAATATCTGGTTTAATTTTTGTCGTTACAGCAATAAAACGTTTTGTGTTTTATATTTATATAACGAGTGCAAAATTTTCCTAAATATGAATATAGGGACCGAGGAAACTATAAAAGGTTAGATTTCGTAATTTTTGAAATATTAATGTCTTCAATTTTTAAATATGCGAAAATCAGGAATATCTGTGTCATTTAAAACATTTTTGTAATTGTAAATATATGTCTAAGACCAACGGTCGTAAAAATGAAGGCTTGGTGAGGATTTTACGCGGTAATCTTAAAATAAAAATTCAAACCTAAGTAAGAATTTAGTTTGACTAGCACAAGAACAGGTTTGCTTAACTTACAAAACTACTTGATTTGAAATGAAAGGGCAAAACGTGTTAAAGAATAAAATTTAATTGATAAATACTTAAATCATATTTTTATACAATTTTTGTGAAATACTATTTATTTGCGAAACATTGTTTATTTTATATATATTCGTATATTGTTCTAAGTTTGTAATAGGAGGACTTCAGATTTTAAACACTTCTGCGAGATAACTACAAACTTTTGTACTCTACGTCCTTTTACTCAGCTGCTAATTACCATAGCTGTTAGGATCATAATCGGCTGTAAGAATTTAAATAACCATTCGATAATTGAATAAATCTGTGTGCTCCTTTTTATTGGCAATTAATTCGCAGCCATTTGTAACAAACTTTTTTAAAAACTGGCATGGAAATTAGAAAACTATCGTGGAATTTTCTAATCATAAAGGT